TCCGCACCCCCTAAGGCGGGGTCCTGCCCTCACGTTGGTTATTGAAACCAAACTAATGAATTCTCGTGTTTTACAGTGAAGAAAACGTTTGGAAACTTTGTGAGTACATCAGGAGCCAGGAGCGGTACCCGCTAGAGGAGTTTTATGCTGTTTTCATATCCAATGATAGGAGGATGGTGAGTCAATGGGGTGCGATCTGGATGCAGGCCCTCAGACTGCAGCCCCGTGCAGGTGAGACGTGGTCTGGGGCTTTGGACCTCAGCCTGGCATGGGTGAGAGATGCTCACAGGCCTCCAGTCTGCAGCCCAACCCGTGAGACATGGTCCAAACCCCTCTTGTGGCTCACCTTGGTTCAGAGACCTGCAGACCAGACCTTGTGAGATCTGTAACCAGCTGCATTCAGGACAATAGGAAGAGGCACAATGGCCCTGTGGGCATTCTTCCCTGTCATCTATCAGTTTAGGAGGATGATGATGTTATCCAGAGTTGTAGCTCCAGCTTCATGCTCCTGAAAGATAGAAATGAGAGACATCTCTCTGACTGCAGCACAAGCTGTGGGAGTGGATAGGTTGGCAAAGAACAAACCAATTCATCCCAAGGGATTCTGTATTAAATGGAAAGGTTTTATTCAGTTCAGATTTATTCACTTGTAACTTTCAGATTCCACTCTGGAAGCAGAAATCGGGACATGGAGATGAGCCTGTGGTGTGGGTAAGGCATTCTGTTCTCTCAGTAATTTTGAGTGTGTGCTTCTGTAGTTGATAGCTGCAGGATCAGGCATGGGCAGTGTTGGTCATCTTTACTGCAACAGATTGTTCCACCTGAATGTACAGAAATGCATTTTACAGTGAGGGTGATGGAGCACTGGAGCAGGTTGCTCAGAGAGGTTGTGATATCTCCATCCTAGGAGGTACTTAGAAGCTATCTGGACGTGGTCCTTGGTAGCTGGCTTTAGGTGTCCCTGCTTGAGCAGTGGGTTGGACCAGATGAACTGCAGAGGTCACTTCCAACCTCAACCATTCTATAGTTTTATATTAATATGTATTCTTTTACAACAGATTTATAAAGAGCCTAAATCTGGTGCTCCTTTTTACCACTCATAATAAATCAACAGCGAGACAATCAGTAACATCTACAGGTGGTAAACCTTAACATTGGTAAGATTATTATCTGGGTGTCGTTGAGGCTACCAGCTTTGTAGAATTTGAAGTAGGTATTTATACTTGTAAGTTGTAGATGGATGAAATATCCACGTAGACGTGACAGGGGATAATAAAATAAGCAATGTATGTGTTCAGGTGTGAGCAACTAAACTGACCCATTCATGGTGGCTTTGGAGTGTCATTTAACAAATTAATGTCAGTTGGGAACTGCCACTACAGAACTCTCTTCTTTCTCTCCCAAGGTATGCTCATAGCACAAGAAAAGGTTTCATTTAGGGAAATCAAAGATGATCTCAGAAGGAATAGGAGAGTCAGGAAAGGCCACTGCAGAATGTGGATGTCCCATAAAAACTCATGGATCAAAAGGTGTTTTAATTTGGATGTTTCAATGGATCATAGGACATGTAAAGCTTGTAATTGATTTCTCTTATACTCTGTAACAGGTTCTTCTAAATGTCATTGCACACAGTTACAGATATGTACTGGTCTGGCAAATTAGTTTGCCCAAGATATTTTTCCTTCCAATCCTTTTGTGGTTCTGTTTGATCTTGAAAGTGCCAGAAGACGGTGTTTCAAGCTCTTTTTGTGAGTGGATTTAATGTAAGCTTTGGTAAGCTGTTAACAGTTTAATTTTGGAGCACAGCAGCGTATGTACCTAACACCTAACGTAAGTAACTGCAGCGTCTCCAAACCTCCACCACGAACTTGTATGTTTCTTACAAGTGAGGCGCAGTTTTATTCCTTAACAACTCGAGTGTCAAGACAAGATAGTTACCTCAAATGAGTATGGTATAGGTGTCTCCTCCCATCTTCAAGAGCTGCCTCAGGAATATCTTTCTCTGGTGGTCCTCTTGATGTGAACCATCTGCTGCTCTTTCAGTTGTATGATGGTTTTCAGGTGCTTCTGGCAGCTAAACACTCCAAATTCACAGACTGCATTACTGCAACAGATAAAATGTCTCTTACTAAAAGAGATCACTAGATAATCTTAGTGTTAAGCTACCATCATATATTTCTGTGAGCTTTTATTCAGGACTGGGTCCAAGGCAAAAAAGCTTATCCCACTAAACTCCTGTGTTTTGGTGCAGGACATGGAAGAGGTTTGCTGTTTTCTCAGGAGTAGTGTACACTTCAGATCAGCTGTCCAGGCTTAAATCAAAGGAGGCTGCAAAGGAATGGGGGGAATAGCAAGGTTTCTTGAAAGGCACAACGGGTGACACAGACACTGGGAAATCTGGTGCTGGAAATGTTACAGGCTTAATAGTTCAAGGGCAGGAAGCAGGATTTGGAGAAGGGATCTGTAGCTTCTGCTTTTAGGAAGCATGTTTTTCATTCTCTTTGCCAGTCTCTCATTAAAGCTGTTTAATTCCTGGCAATTACCCTTTCTCCCAGGACTACCATGTCATTCTACTTCACGTTTCCAGTGGGGAGCAGAACTTCATTTATGATCTCGACACAGTGTTGCCGTTCCCATGTCCTTTTGACATGTACAGTGTGGAGGCTTTTAGGTTGGATGATGGCCTTCGTCCAGAATTCCGCAGGTGATGACATAAAACATAAACACCGTGACTGTTATTTCATGAATTTAAAGCTGAAATTCTATTTGTGGATGTGTAGTGACAAAGGGGTTTGTGCTAGACTCCAGTAAAATAAATGCAGTGTTATTTTTCTAAAGCTCTTTACGTTAGTCATCAAACCCCCTTTTCTTTCATACTGCAGTTGCTTGTTAACTGCTTGGCATAATAGTTGTGATTTATGCATTTATTGAAATGAGTGTTCCTGGGTGGGATGAAAGAGCTGTTGTAAGTGACTGATGCAGTATTGTATCCATGCATCTTCTGATACAGTTTTGCATTATTATTTAGGAAAATCAGAATGATTCGAGCAGATTTGTACTTGAAGACTTTTGCTTCAGACAGATCTCATATGAAAGATGCAAGTGGGAAATGGCAGAAACCTCCTCCTTCATACCCTTGCATTGAAACTGCAGGTAAGCTGCCAGAGCTCATTCTTCCTGCTTACAGTGGTGAATAGTCCAAGCTGCACACAAGAAATAGATATGCTTCCATAATGTGTGTCCAGAAGCACATCCAGATAGCTTAATATTTCATATGTCTGAAGCATTTGGCGCTTCCTTTTCTGAACATGTACAGTCTAGCATGCCTCCTGGCAGTTACCATTATCAAACATTAATTACTCATTAATCACTGATCTTCTTAAGCTGAGCAGAGAACAAGAGGTTAGTAATGCTGTTCTCTCATTACAGCAGGGAACTGAAGCAGAAAGGCCAAATAACTTGCTTAGGGGGTCACAAAGTGAATTTTTAACACGATCATGGTACCACAGTTCCGCTGGCAGGTCTCATCCTGCCAGAGCAAGTGCTCTACCAGGTGAATAGACCTGAGGACACTTTAAGGCAAACTTGCAAATCAGCAGATTTTCCCCCAAGCCTTAAGCCTCTGTTAAGTGTTAGTGTGCATAATTGCCTCTGGGCCAAGTAGAGAGAGAAGTGAAGACTTGCTTTTTCCTCTGTAGAACTGCATAAACCATTCTTATCACACAGCACTTCAGCTTCTTCTAATCATGTGTTTGGCAAGCTGGCTAACATTTGCCATGCGTTTGTTTGTTCTCTGGTTTTCCTCCCAGATGAAGGAAAGCATAGTGAAGTTGTGCTTTGAAGGAGTATTGGTGTTACTGCTCTACGTGTTTGGTTTTGTTGCTTCATTAATCATGCAGCCCTGCTGTGTGTTTATGTTAGAGAAGGCAGGGACAAAGAAACATCTTTTGTGTTTAAGTCCAAGTTTATTGTGGTTTTAAATTGCTGGGAAGTTAATTCTCAGTCTTTGGCTTCTATAGAGACTTGGTGTTGCACACTAGAGTAGAATGAATCATGACTGTGGGCAAGAGCACCGCTGTAGTCTTCATTATGAAGCTTTAGGTATTTTCTAGACAATTCAGATTGTGAAGCACCTTAAATTCTGTATTTTGGTCTTTATCTCCAGTAAAGTTTTCAACAAAGGAATGTAGCAAGTCGAGAATACCTGAACTGCAATTCACAGTTCACTGTTAGCTAGAGCCTCCCAGGCACTGGAGGCTTTTTGCCTGTGGAAACCTTGTTGTTGTGATAATTAAGAGTTAATGAAAGTGTGAGGAATATAGATCAGGTCATACCAGAAAGGTAGAACTGTTCTATTCAAATCGTAGAATAATTAGGGTTGGAAAGGACC